CTCTTTCTCTCTATCCCTCTACCTACCTACCTATCTGCACTCTCTCTCTCCCTCCCTACCTACTGTATTTCTCTCCCCTCCCCACCTATTTACTATATTTCTCTCTCTCTCTTTCTCTCTATCCCTCTACCTACCTACCTATCTGCACTCTCTCTCTCCCTACCTACCTACTGTATTTCTCTCCCCTCCCCACCTATTTACTATATTTCTCTCTCTCTCTTTCTCTCTATCCCTCTACCTACCTACCTATCTGCACTCTCTCTCTCCCTACCTACCTACCTACTGTATTTTTTTTCTCTCTCTATCTCTTTATTTACCTACCTATTGTATTTTTCTCTCTTTCACTCTCTCTCTATCCCTCTACCTACTTTTTTTTAAAAAAATGCCTCTTCAAAACCTGGGTGCGTCTTATACTCCGAAAAATATGGTAGTTTGTATGCACTATTGTGTTGGGATCAGTCAGCAGAGGAATATATATAACTGAATATGTCCTCCTGGGATCTCTATTGAAACTGGTGTCTTTAAATCTGCCTAACTTCCCAGGACTCTTAGTGGCACCAAATTATTGGAGATGATTAAAGCAATTGGATATTTCGAAGAATTTTACATCAGAATGTAGAATTACAGCTAGGAAAGACATGAAATGTTAAGATAGATTGGAGGGCAAAAAAGAATCTGCTCTGACCTCACAAATGTAAAGAAATACAATCTATCAGAGGAAAACAAGCCTAAGTACTGAGGAGGTTTTGATCATACAAAAGGGAGAGAATAGGAGCAGTTTAAAGTCAGGGATATGAGAAACCATTGTCTGATCACAATTTGTTTTCAAGATATACAGATAGTTTAATCTCTCACATGCATTCTGTATATGTGAAGTCAAATTAAAAATTGTTGGAGGGATATTTTGGTTACCTCTGCTTTATGATCCAGAAAATGAATGGCTCTACAAATGAAAAAATGGCTCCCCAGAAGGGTTTATGACAACTTGCCATGGCCAACTCGCCATGGAACTAATATCAAAGACATAGTGGAATAGAATCACTAAAGAAAGGATGCCAAAGGAAGGACAAAATGAAATGCGAATGACCAAAATTAAAATAATTTTTGAAGTATTTTAAATGATTAAATTGAATTGCTGAATTGTCCCACAGCTAGTTGTCCTGTGGTGAGTTGTCTCGTGGCAAGTTGACTGTGGCGAGTTGTTCCATTCCCTTCAGAAAACTAAAACTGTAACTCCAAGCGGCCCTAACCAGTGGCAGAAGATGCTAGTAGTTATCTAACAACAATACCCTGAGGTCCAGAGGTGCCATACCCCTGCTGTACAGTGTGATCCCCTGGATAGAGCCAAATTGACATGCACCCTTTGCATGTGTTATATACCCACTTATGCTTCTCCTCTCTGAGCTTCTCAAAGCTTGATGACACAACCCAGCTGCTTAATTGCTTGTTCATGTTTATTGCCACAGCAACAGACATATGATTCCATTTAAAGGTGGATTAAAGGTTTGTGCTCAGTGGGCCTCCACTTCTCCTGTGGCCACTCAAGCTCACTGGGGAAGGACTACGGGAGGGAGATTGAGGGAGATTCTTAGATGGCCCATAGTCTTTGGGAGCTCATTGTGGGGGTGGGGGGTGGGGATATCAAAGGACAGCTGGTTCTTTCATGTCTGTTAGAGCTGTTTGGTGTCTGTTCTTATTCTACTGTGGTTCCCCAAATCCATCCTCTTATTTTTTTCTCTATTACTCCCTATGGTTATACCTTTCTGTAAGGATCTATCTCATTCATCAGATGTGTCCTGGTTACTAGAATCAATACCTAGGAAACAATGGGAGGTGATAGCGATAAAATGGCACCCAGAGGTAGATGACAAATAGTTTAGGCAGGTCGAAAGCTGCATAATTTCCTATGGGGTGCATGTTCACAACAGAGTATCCCACAGGCTTTTTTTTTCTTTTTATCTTGCCAGTCAAACCCTTTTCCCTAGAATTTGTCATATAATAATGAAACTCCCCAGAGATGATTGAGCCTGTCCATCATTTGGCATGGTTTCTGGTTTAAAGTGCCTGCATTCTCTAGAGGAGATCGAAAAACAGTGCCTGCATTCTCTAGAGGAGATCGAAAAACAGCAGCACTGCAGTCATTTTGCATTCCTTCGTTTTCTGCCTCCCCTTGTATTCATCAAAGGGACTGAAAAGGTTGAGCTATTGCTTATTATGATGCTGAGCAGAGACAATAGGCATATGTTCAGTTTATCTTAAGCAGGGCTTACTGCAAACAGATACTTTCCAGATAGATTGGGCCTTCACCCTAAGCAGATAAAGAGAGTACCTGGTTAGGGAAGGCTGTTTTNTTTTTCTTTGAAGACGTTTCGCTTCTGATGTCATCAGGTGACCCTGATACACAGATAAGCCTCCAGGTGACCTTAATGTCTTGCTAAAAGAATGCAAATGACCAGCTATCTGCAAGGAGGATAAATCTTTCCATTCCCCACCATCCAATCAGAACTGAAGAATCTTCTTGGATGAGAAGCAAAACGTCTTCAAAGAAAAAACAGAAAGCACAGTTACCTCTTGAAAAAGCACCTTTGGGACAACCAGTCTACAACTCATCCTTACTGTTGAGGCCCCTCCAGATTGGGCTTCCTGAATGATTTGCCACAAGTTAAGAAGTTTTTAGACCATTGCGGTGCAACCTTTACAAAATGTTTTTAAAATGTCTATACTTAAACACTGAGCAGTTTTACATATTTCTGCTTGCAAAGGAACAAGCACCCTAACCCTGTTTAAAATACATTCATGAAATTGATACTGGAAATACAGCAGCGCTAGGTTTCTCTGCCTAAGACTTACTGGTAGTCTTGCAATGAGGTGCAGAATCCCATGAAAAGCAGGAATGCTCTAGTAACTAAATAGCTGGAAGAACTTGCCATACAAAAATATGAAAGAAATTGTTGAACGTCTTTAAATTTAGTTGTGATACGTGGTGGCTAATGGACAAAAGTCTTTGTAGTCTTCTATAAACTAGTGTTTTCTGAATTTAAGAATTGAATGTCGTATTCTATAAAAAAGTGTTTTCTGAATGTAGGATCTGAAGGTAAGTCTCTGCTCATGCTGAGAAAAATGGGCAGCCCATGGTGGAGAAGATTAAAACAAAACCAACTGGAGAATTGGACCTCAGAGAACAAAAGCTTTTGCAAACAAGAGGCCAAGCTGGAAAAGATTTGTCACCAATTAGGAGATCTAAGCAGGAGAGTGGGGTGGGCCTCGCCAAATGGGAGCTGGTTTCCACAAACATCAGAAGAAAGAAATCCGGATGTTTGGGGTTTCTACTCCAGATGTGAAAACACATTCCCCACATGGAGTGCAATCTGAGGGACAGGAGGCACTTTTTAAAACCAGAGGAGGTCATGGAGAAATGTGGCTATAAAAATGTAACCTGGCTGGCACATTCACATCTAAATTGAGGAAAACATGTTGAGTATGAATTACAGGCAAACTGAGCTTGATTAAGGGCTAATCAAAATAAAATAAAAACCTGGAAGTTACTGAGCCACTCTGCTCCAATTAATTTTTGCTGCAAGGAATGCTGCAAATATAACAGTTTTACCATCGGCCTAGTTTGAAACATCATTTGGGGTTCCGGGAAGGAATTATTTTAATTCTCTTTCCCCTCTGAAAAACATTAGTAAGTGGTGAAGAACTTGTGTTTCTTCTGTGATCTGACCATTGACCATGCTGGGTTGGAGTTGCTTACAAGAGGCCAAGCCTGGAAAATATTTGTCTTTTCTTTCTTTCTTTCTTTCTTTCTTTCTTTCTTTCTTTCTTTCTTTCTTTCTTTCTTTCTTTCTTTCTTTCTTTCTTTCTTTCTTATGTATCAACAACAGATTGAGAGGTGTATTGCTAGAAAGGTAATACCTTAAACTGCCCCAAATATGAAAACTGGTCCATCAAATGAGCTCTAAATTAGAACACACGGAAATCTACCATTTAACTGATGGGAGGAGAAGACCGAAAAACTGAGATATAACTGGTTATTGTCATATAAGTTGAACTTTATCTTGGTCTTGAAAGAACTCAGTCTCTGCATCTCAAGGCTGGATTAGTGGAAAATATGCAAGTCTTATACATTCAAAGGGGGGAGGGGCTTAATCATTTTTTTAAAACAAACACAGCAGAAATGTATATATTGCACATGGTATCATCCTAGGTCAATCACTCTGCTTTAACCGAATATTTGATGTTCGTATTTCTATTCTCTGAATATCAATAGGACATTTTCCCTTAGTTTTCTTTAAAAATGTTGAATATCTCAAACCTATAATTTACTTAAATAAAAAAAATAAATCACCTTCATTGAACAAAAGACAAGGGAAGTAAATCTAACAGGGATGCTTGATCTTCAGAATTCTTCATGTGAATCTGAATTTGAAAACTCCCTATTCGATATATTGTATGGCAGGGAACAATTGTTATTGCAAAAATGGATATATTCTTCCTATTTCCTCCAGGTAGGCGATTATGTTCTCTTTGGCACATACATTATTCAGCTGTATACTCCACTGAATTGGTTTGGCACATATTACAGGTAATTTCCTTGCTAGGCTACTTTTTTGTATGTTTTATTAGCCATTTGGGGTGAAACAAAGAGAAATAGGTTGATGGACTTGGAGAGTTATATTCCGTTATTTTATTTACAGCCTGCTCCAAGCAGAGCACCATATCTCATTTCTCAGATTTCAATTTCCCTATAACAAGAAAAGAACCATTATTCTGAATCTAATAATATCTACAGCAGCAATAAACAGAACACCTTAGATGAACGGTATAAGAATGAAGGAAAAATGCATTCAGGCTTTTTGTTTGTCTTCAAATTTATATAGCCACCCAGCTCAATCTACTTCAGATCACCTGGCAATTGGTAGCAATCTATTTTGTGCCCATCATGACTCTTGTGAATAGTGTTTGTCTAACAGTTTTATAGAGACAGGCAGCAAATAGAAATAATCCATTTCTGAGATGTTTGACATAAAAGAGGAATTAGACTAATTGCTGAAATATAGACTTATTTTAAAATTTCAGATTATAATAACAGTCTGTTAATCTTGTGGGGGGAAAAACTCACAAGAACATAGTATATCGCGGGCATGGTTGAATTTTGCCTTGAGTTATATGACAACTAAAATAAGTACAAATGAATGTCTCCTTTGTACTTCAGCTTTATTTGTAGTGGGCTAATTGTTTAGTCAATAGACAGAAAAATCTTGATAATTAACAAAATGCAAAGTTTAATAACTATTTGGTTACTGAAAAGTAATTGTAAGTCACGGAAAAGTATGAAATAGTATATTTTGTTCTATTTGAGTACAAATATTTTCTTATAATATTTCCTTTTGCATGAATACTTTTTTTGTCCAGTAATGAAAGGAATTATCATTAAAATTTCTCACGCCTAGAAAGTTGAGCTCAGATTTGAAAAATAAAATGCAGCCCTAGAAATTATATGTCGATTTATATATATATATATATAATATATATATAATTTATATAAAATTTATATAAAATTTATATAAATTATAAATTTATATAAATTTATATAAAAAATTAATTTGCCCTCTCTTTTACACTTCCCCTATCAAAGATATTTTTAAAGAGGTGTGAGATAATTTACTATGTGCAGACGTGTTAAAAATATGGGACTGATGGAGTTTGTGTTCATGCTTAAAATATAAAAGATTGCTGTATTGCAATGGTTCTCAACCTGTGGATTGGGACCCCTTGGGGGTCGAACGACCCTTTCACAGGGGTCGCCTAAGACCATCGGAAAACATATATTTTCGATGGTCTTAGGAACCGAGACACCAATTTTATGGTTGGGGGTCACCACAACACGAGAAACTGTATTAAAGGGTTGCGGCATTGGAAAGGTTGAGAACNTAAGATTGTCAACCAGACGGATGCATTTAGTACTGTATTTCCCAGAAAACAAGACCTAACTGGAAAATAAGCCCCAATGCATCTTTTGGAGCAAAAATTAATATAAGACCCAGTCTTATTTTCAGAGAAACACAGTATTAATTTATTTGACTTGGACACCACCTATGTGCCATCAAATTTGAGCAGCTCACAAAACACAACCCAACAACAATATTCAAACAAGTTAAAAAGCAATAAGATGGCAAATCCAGCCAATGCGTAAATTCCGCAAGGTGCTCAGACTACCCCAGCCTAAAATATAAAGCTTGAGAGAATAACCAGGTCTTTGAAGACCATCCAGAACACCATCAGGGTGGGAGCCATTCTGATCTCCAGGGAACTTCATTCCAGAGGGCAGATGCTGCAATAGAGAAGGCATGCTTTCAGGTCCCATTTAGTGGCGCCATTTGCTCGAAGGAATCCAGAGCATGTCAACCCTGTTGGATTGAACCAGTTGAGATAATAATAGGAGAGACAGGTGGTCCTTCAAGTAACCAGGCTCTGCGTGTTGAACAATAATTCCTATGTTCTCATCTAGCCCATTTTCTGTGAATATGGACATTGTGGGATGGCGTATCTGGGAAGCCAGATGGGAAAAAGTTGACCAACAGTTACCAAAACTGAGGGGCCAAATCCATTCAGCCTCACTCTATCCTACCAGTCTTCTAAGGCCAATTGATGAATGAAATCCTGACTAGTGAAAGAAATGAGATTGGCCTCTATGTCTCAGTTTGCAAAATTATCCTATTCCCTTTTCATATTTTTAAGTGACCTGCTTAGGAAATGGTGGGTTTTTTTTAAAGAGTGTCTACTGCGACGCCAAATATTCTTTGCTGGTAAATCTGGGATGGTGCTACTGCTACTACAAATAGCCGTAAAAATTTTAAAATGCTCTGCCCAAATGGCAGAAAGCAGCCATTTGTATCTCGGATGGCCTTCCTTTTTTACATAGAGTTTTGCTTTCCTCTGTGCTTATGCCTGAAAGGTTATGAGACGCAGGTTGGTGAGCGAGGCCTGAAGCTGAGCGGTGGGGAAAAGCAGCGAGTTGCTATTGCCCGGACCATCTTGAAGAACCCTGACATCATCTTGTTTGATGAGGTAACGGAGGAGAAGGATTGTCTTAATATCTGTCTCAGTCCCAGAGAATGTCCTCCTGTTCTTTAGAGAGAACAGCTGATTGGATATGGGTTATTTGCCAATGGGAGGGAGGAGAACAGAAGAATCAAGTTTAATATCCAAACTTGGTTAGAAAAATAAAGTTTAATATCCAAACTTGGTTAGAAGAATCCAGTCTAATATCCTGTGGAGTAGCCTAGAAAAGGACACAATTGACTGGGATCAATGGTTGCCTCCCACATTGCAACCATGTGTGGCAAGTATACAAGCAGTCCTCGAGTTCTAGCGGTAATGAAGCCTGTCCATCATGATTGTAACTCATGTTGATCACCCCACGACCGATCCAATTTTATGAATGTTTTGCAACAGTCATTAAATAAACACCACAGTCATTAAGTGAACCAATGCTTCACTATGAGCATGATTTTGCTGAGAACTGGAAGTAAATGCTGTTTTGGGTGGTGGTGGTGGCAAAACCATCGTGAAATGTGGTTACATGACTGTGGGATGCTGCAAACAGCCATAATGTGGCCCAATTGCTGAGTGCTTGAAGTACGGTGATGATTGATGTGGGGGAGCAACCTCAGAACTTTGGATTTGGATCATAGGTACCTCCAGGAAGGTCCATCATAACTTTGAAAGGTCTCTAAGGGACCAGTCATAAATCAATAATTACTTGTACTTTTATCTATTTATTTCCCACATCTGAAGTTATGTTTGCATGCCTTTTCCATGCCTTTAAAAAAAAAACAAAGCCTGAATTTTGGGAGCACTTGGGAGGAGGATAACATCACAAATTGTGTTATTCTTTAAAACTACATTTCTCTTCCTCGTTTCCCAGACCAATTGTAACCCATTCCTGAGTAGTTCTCCCCACAATAACAATAGTACAGAACTACAAAGAGCATCTCTCAGCTCTTTACCATGGCACCAAAACAACATGGTACTACTACTATGCCAATGACTTGACACTAAAAGGAGGTTCAGGCTCCATTACTTTCCTCTATATCCCCCTTTGCTCTGCTACAATGTGCTGACTCTTACAGGCAACATCAGCGCTGGACACTAAAACGGAAAGGAAAATCCAGTCATCGCTGGCTAAAGTATGTGCCCATCGCACCACTATTATTGTGGCTCACAGGTAAGGTGAAATGTCATTTCATAAGGTAAGAAGCTGTCTGTAAGTAGTTACATCCTGTTTTTGTACTTTGTTCATATTTTCTATTGCGTGTCTGGGAATTGCCCACATGGGTATCTTATCGTTTAGTTTGTATTGATATTTTTTCCAGACCCGCAGTAGAGCATTCCTTAAAATATGACTTTTGAAATTCTTGTCCACCTTTTTGTCATATAGCAGGTAAGCATGCCAACCATATGCCAAATCATGCCCTTCAATATTAAGTATTCTATCATCTGTTAAGTTAATCCGGTCACTAATTACCGATAAAACTAGTATAGTTTTAAATTGGGTAATTTCAAGCCTCCTCTCTCACGCACATCTTGTATTATTTTTAGTTTTACTCTCGGCT